TTTTCCAAGTAGAAGGTCACGAGTTCAATCCCAACCTCAACCCTTTTTTTATTTATTTTCTGCGCCTTATTAATTTAAACCGTAATCATAGATCGTTTCACTCACGACAACCAATTCATAGATTTATCGAAAAGCATCCTTTCCATTGAAATTATGGAGATGGAGAGGTAACCTAGGACCGAGCCTTGGTCTCATGTTAAACAACTATGAATGAATTAATCATTCTCACATCTCCTTGAATTAGCTAGAGTTACGGCTTGGAGTGCTGATAGGTATTCAGATTCAAGGTTTTATTACTTATTTAGCTGCCCATATGATGAATTCTAGAATAGCTCAGATGGCAAGGCAAGCGGCTGGTGATCGGAAGGTCGTGGTTCGAATCCCATCTAACGACATGTGTGTGTATGTATGTAATAAATTCATAATAAATTTTCTAGTATCTTGTGTAATGGATGCCGTGCTTCGACACAACACACAACAATCATTGACGAACGAGAACAACCCTGCTCTGTCCCGTTCTTATTTTCGGAATAATTTATCCCGTAGTTGGATAATCGTTTAATTGATGTATAAAAGTGTCTAATTAAACATTATTTCACATGAGAATCAAGCGTCTATATACACCTTTATACCATCGCTGTTTAAAGAAGTAATGATGTCTAATAAACGCTGAATACTCAAAATTTTGATCGAATAAGCTCTGTTACAACTTTTGTAAGTCGAATAGAAGCTTCTCAACATACCTTATTCAGCACCAAATATTTCGATGTTGTGGTTGAATAAATTCTCCAGATTTGTGTGAACAAAGCCTGGACAGAAGTTATTATTAAAAATAGAACAAGTATTATTAAGCAGGCAGTTGAATAAAATAGTCAAGAAGTCGTTTATTCAATAGGCAATTGTTTGTTGGGGCGTTCTTCGGGGGATAGCTGCAGCTGGATTATAGAGGTTTTCACGTCTGGTTGTAATGGTAGGGTATATGAGAGCGTGTTAGTGAATATCCGAGGAAAATACATAACAAATCGATGTCAAACTCATTTTGACAGATCTACTTTCATACATTTTTTAGGTTAGCCAGAGGAAAATAATAAACAACTTTACACGGCGTTGCTCCCGCTAGTGTGCGTGCGTTAAACGTCACTAATCTCTATATGCTGCCATGTTATTGAAACATCTGAAACGTCAAAATTCAAGTGTGAACTGTAAAAATTGATTGTCGTATTTGTATCAAATGGAATTATTTTCCCTTTTATGCCATAAAATTGGTTGACTTCGTGGTAAAAAATCAGAAAATAATGCTTTATAGGTTCTAAGTTTATGTTTCACAAAATGTAAGCAAAAATATTAAGAATATCGGAAATATCAGTCACGCCTTTTTTGATATTCTGGCTTGAATCATCTATTTGTTTACAAATAATGAGCTGTCAGTGGGGCCCACAAGGCAAGGCAAACAAGATAGGGTTGCCACCTAGCTGGATAGCTGTTTATCCCAAATTATGAAGAGGACGCTACCTAAACAACGTGACGTATTATGACATAAGTATATTCTGGACATTGGACCACAATATAGTAAAATTTGATTAGATTTTTATGTCCCAGAAAACATAAAAGTACAGTTCTTCGAACAGTGGTTTTATGTAGATTGTGAGTAGAATTCTAGGGAACTCAAAAGTATCAAAAGTGATGGTACGGTTAATTCAGTTTTGAATCCTCCTTCGAATTCCCTTGGAATGCTCCCTTTCTTGAGATGGAATATTATGACTACAATCCTGAAACTACACCTAAAGATTACCTACTGCAGAAAATCTCGCAAATGTTGATCGATCAATCAATCAATCAATCAATCAATCAAAGATAAATTCTGAAGAGAGCCGCAAGGATAAATCGATTAAAAATCCCAAGAGAATATAATTATGTAAATAATTCAAACGATTGTTTGCCAAATTTCAAGCTTTTAGAGAATTCATATGAATTTTGAGGGAAATTCAAGGTAAATTTGAGTACATTTACATAAGAAACTCTGCGTACTGTTGCACGATATTCTCAATAAATCTCGACTACTTTTTCAAAGGCAAGTATCAGCTTTCGTAAACAACGCATTTGATCGTGGATTTGACGTAACTGGTAGCTCACCCACGCATGCTAACACTACCATCAGATAGGGAAAACTTTCCCCTACCTGTTAGTGGTGTTAGTAATCGTGTACGACCAGTTACGCCAAATTGACGATCAAATGCATTGTTTACAAAGCTGATACATCCATTTGAAAAAGTAATCGAGAAATACCAAAAAAAAAGTTCTAAGGAGAGTGAAAAAATTCCAAGAAAATTCCAAGAGATCTTTTTCAAGGACATTTTGAAAAGATTTTCAGATAAATTTTGAGAAAATTTCCAACAGAATTCTGATGTGAAATCTATTAACTGACAAAACCCCAAAGCTGCAAACAGCGTATCGGTGCATGTTTACATGGCTGATTCTCGGTAATGCGATGATCAATCATAAGGTATGGCTATCTACTTTCATTTGAAACAGATCGAAATCCGACTGGGCCATCCGGAACGGAAAACCCCGAAAAGTGCCGAGCAAAATGCATGCCGATTTATGTTGACATCACTGGCTCTCAGCAATTTGGTTACCAAATTTTGAGATTGAACCACTATTTGATAAGTATCTTCTTTCGAACGAAAAAGACAGGGTACCTTTTGGACATGTGGTTGGCCAGTCGGACCGGGAAAACCCATGAGAGGTGCTGGTCAATTACTGAAATTAGACCTAGTGATTTACATTTTGTTTCTAAATTGTATACAATCATGAGCATAGAGGAAAAATGTCATCACCATATCGATTCTGCTTCCGGGTGGCCAGAAAATGGTCCTCTGAATATCCGGAATCTTGTGGGTGATTGGTAAATTCCTGAAAGTAGACCTGGAGATCCGTGATTTTTTTTCTAAATTGCTTACCATCATGAGCATAGAGGGGGCCAAATACAGTCCTGTGGATATCTGGAATCACGGTGAAAATTGTCATTTCCTGACCTGATACCAGAGGCAAAATGTTAAATTGAAATTGAAAAATCAGATTTCGAGGCCATGATATCAGGGGTTTGCGTTGCACGCCTTGAGTCTACACATCGCACCCCCCCCTCTCGACGCCAATGCTTTGGGACGTCTTCCACCCTTGGAAATAAATATGACCCGGACCCAGAGCCAATTATCAGGAAAGTAGTCCATCATAAATCAACTCAACTTCTGCAGCTGCTCTTTCACGAATACAAAATGAATTCAAAATTTACAGATTGTTTTAATACAATAAAATATTTCACGATATTTTAAACCTGTTGCAGTTTGAGATGATTTGTTCTAGTTTGTTTTCCTCTGTTCGGGACATAACACCACAGCGACCAGTAATTTGATCTATAGTAGTATATCCCGTGTCCTTAGTTTAGTGCATATCGTATTACTGCATCACTATTGAGAAATGATGAAGTATTCGGTTTTGATACAGTTGTCATTCTTGCCTTCATCGCAAGGATCCGACTCTAATTGAAAGGTTCCGCTATTTATACCCTTCGGAGTGTTGAAACACCGTCCAAAGGCGCGCTCCTTTGTCAGTCAAAATTGGATTCCTTAGCAACAAAAATAAGCAATGACACCGATGGTGACCATGCATCAGAACGCTAGTCTTAACCAGTTCAAACTATGGAACAACGATAGAAGATTAGAAATCACATAGATGAAGACTAACTCACTCATTTTTTTCCTTGTTTCAAGATCATCCTCGGTGGATAAAGCCGAGCCTTATCACTATCAACAAGGCATTACAAGTAACAAGGGCTTAGAGGTGTTCCTTTGATTACTGAAAAATCCTGTTCCCCTAGTTTGAAGTAGCCAAGACTAGGAATCGGTGGTAGATCTTATATCCCGTAACGTAACACGAAAAGGTGATCTACCCACGTTACGGGGCAACAGTTCAAGTTAATTATATATGGAAATTAAAGTATATTAGCCTATAAATCGAAAACATCATCATACATGTGCTCATTTGCTAAAGAATACGATCACAGTGCGCCACCGGATAAAACAAACACTAGACCAGCATCTACGACAAAATGCTGATGAAAATATTCGCCTCGAACCGGTACCACCATCATGAATCATTTCCCTAATAGTACGCCCCATCAATTAGCCTGATTAGCTCGATTAAACCAGCAACCAGCAGCGAAGGCCTGTGTGTGACATTTTCCACGCTGAACAGTGTGCAACATTGTGTGTCCCTTCAGCGGCTCATTATCGATCTGGTAGGAACCTAGAACGGCCATAGTTCGGCTCCCTTAGCAGCTCAGAGCAATTAAATTCGACTTTCATAAGACGGTGAAAATCACTGTCTCCCAGTCTCAGAAGAATAATGAAGACGAAAAAGAAATCTGTTTACGCGAACACGCGCATAAGTTATGACATGCGAGTGAGAACCCACCGAAAAGATCGAATTTCCCGAAGGCACTCACGGCCAGAAATCGAAGGAAAAGATTTTTCCCGCGGCCAACCCGAGGGTTTATTTTTTGCTTCTCTCACACTATCCTAGAAACTGACAAATACCTCTACACACAGTGAAAACAGCCCATTAAACACAACTAACACGGGCGGGCCCGAACAGTGCTATTTCGAAAATGTGTGAAATTTTCACCGCCCGCCGTCGCCGTAAACTGCGCTAACTGGCGTAAAAAACCAGACACTCACTCCCGCGCACGGCAATGAAGGCTAACATTTTTGATATTTATCCAAAGAAAAACGAAAACAATAACAAATAACACCTCCCGATTTTCAATCAGCTGCTCACAGCCCCGCCACACGTGCTCACAACACATAACACCGCACGCAAGCTTCGAACACCTGTTCAAACACCAATCATGACTCACGCGACGACGAAGAAGCACACTCACTAATGAACCTTTAATCCTCTTTCTCTCCTTCTGTCTTCGGCGCTGGTTCAACCACCCACAGCTCTGGAGCCGACCGAGTATCCCAGCTTCCGTGTACCGCCGTCGAACGTGATGGCACGGGTCGGCCAGAAGATCAAACTGGAAGCCGAAGTCGCCGGAACCCCACCGCCCGAGGTCATGTGGACCCACGATGGGAAGCATTTCTCCAACCGGGAAGTGAAGGTGAGTGTTGTACTACTGTAGATCGTTCGCCTCCCGAACACCACCCACACACAGCATCAGTCGTAGCAAGGGAAGGGGAAGTAGTCTACAAATCATTAACTGAAGAGGATTACCTACTTGCCACCCACTTACAACACAGTCATGCATAGTATGAGGTAGTCGTCACACAGCAAAGTCTACAAATCGCCTGTCCCTTTGAGGTTTGCCCTTAATTGATTGTCGAGTGGTTCAATCTTGTGCAAGTGGCTGTAAGACACTTAATTAAGATTTTTATTGCTGGTTTGGGTTCGGACACTCACTTACTTCCAGGAGAAGGTGGGGGACAGGGGAACAATGTTGCCAGATGCAAGTTTACAGGTAGTTTAGAGTTGGACAGTGAAGGTGTCTAGCGGAAGTATGCAAATTGGGGTTCGAACTGTTGATAAGTTGTTGGATGAAATGGAAATACTCATCAGATAAGAATCAAATGCACACAGAACTGGAAAACACACCAACATTAGGTTAATTTATCCAGGTCTCCATGAGTAACTACATCAGAAAATCAATAGTAGTAGTAGTAAAATTATGTTTATTTCTGTTGATTATGATAGTACATTGATTTATCATTTTAATTGATTAGCCTACTTGGCTCTTCATCTTTGTTTAATTTGATATTCTAATCTAATATTTGCGTTTTTCAACTAGTTTACAGAATACCCCTTTGGGGATGTGTTTTATTCGAATTGAAAAAAGTGATAACCTACTTAACTACTAGTATAACTTAACCTAACGTGCTAGATCACGTATGATCTGATGATTTGATCACAGACCTGAACCTTTCCAGGATGAATACTCTCCGTTCTTCTAATGTCTGAATTCCAGCCAGCAGGTGGATCTCAAAATTTCTAGTCCGCGGGGGACTGTTTAGGACCATCCTAAGGATCTTGTTCTAGATCCTTTGGAGTTTAAGGTGATGGCATTTTGCGCAACTCTCCCAGATTAGCATACCGTACTCGATTACAGGAAGGATGATTTGTTTGTAGACAGCAAGATTATTTTTCAGGGACAGGGTTGACTTCCTGTTGATAAGTGGATACAACGATCTTATCAAGATGTTGCACTTGGTTTTCGCTTTGTCACCGTGCTCCCTGATAAGAAGCTTGCTGTCTAGTGTTAGCCCGAGGTACACGACCTCTTTGGACCATTCCACCACTGTGCCATTCAGGCAGATCTTGTTATTCTCCGACGGAACAAGTCTGGGAGATTTAGAGTGTGGAAAGATAATGACCTGGGTCTTTGCCACGTTGATACGGATCTTCCAGCTGTTGAAATATTCAGACAGGACGTCCTAAATAATAATCCATTAGTTTCCAACTCTGTTCGGAAGATTCCTGTCATCCACATTTAGAAAGACATACGCATTTCAATTCGTTTTCTCAAAACTAAGACACGGTTCATATCAGTTACTTTTGTTCATCAATAGTTTAGGATAGGGTTTGTCCATCTGAACAACTTTACCGAAGACGGAAACCTTCTATCTAGTCTATATGCTAAGTTAGGGCATACAATTCAAAATGAATGTCATACTAGCGCTACCTTGTTAGTGAATCTTGAACTAAACTCTTTTTCTTAGATTATCCTAGTCCATCTGAACAAGTTTACCAAAGCCGGAAATCTTTTATCTAAAGGGTGATACGGTCAAAATTTGGTCAATATCAACTTGACGTATTTCTTTCAATTTTGCATTTAAAAAACCTGAACACCCCTCATTTTGAAGGTGTGTGTGTGTAGAATGTTGCTCCTATTTTGATTTTGGAATTCACTCTTCAGTTGTCAAAATGCCGTCCAAGCAAGAAGAGCAGCGTATCAAAGTTTTGCTCGCGCATCGCGAAAATCCGAGCTACTCGCACGCAAAGTTGGCAAAATCGCTAAAAGTTGCCAAATCAACCGTTACAAATGTAATTAAAGTGTTTGGGGAACGTTTGTCGACAGCCAGGAAGTCTGGATCGGGGGGAAATCGAAAACCGGAAGCCGCTGAGACGACAAAGAGAGTTGCCGGTAGTTTCAAGCGAAACCCTAACCTCTCTCTCCGAGATGCCGCAAATAAGCTGGGTGTATCGTCTACAACCGTGCATCGAGCCAAAAAACGAGCCGGACTATCGACTTACAAGAAGGTAGTGACTCCAAATCGCGATGATAAACAAAATACGACGGCCAAAGCGCGATCCCGGAGGCTGTACACGACGATGCTGACGAAGTTTGACTGCGTGGTAATGGACGACGAAACCTACGTCAAAGCCGACTACAAGCAGCTTCCGGGACAGGAGTTTTATACGGCAAAAGGAAGGGGAAAGGTAGCAGATGTTTTCAAGCACATGAAACTGTCAAAGTTCGCAAAGAAATATCTGGTTTGGCAAGCCATCTGTACCTGTGGCTTGAAAAGTAGCATTTTCATAGCTTCCGGGACTGTCAACCAAGAAATTTACGTGAAAGAGTGTTTGAATAAACGTCTGCTGCCTTTCCTGAAGAAACACGTATCACCCTTTAGTCCATTTGTTAATTGAGGACAAACAATGAAAAATCAATGTCACACTAGCGCCGGCTGGCGAGTGAACTCTGAACTAAACTCTATTCTTGAAGATAGGCCTTGTCCATCTGAACAGTCTTTTGTAGAAGACGAAAACCATCCATATGTGCAGGATCTGTAGATAGCGTTATATAATGTGTAATGGCACAACTTGAACTTTATCGTTTTAGCGCCATCTAGTGAGTAAATTCTGTCATACACTATCCATAGTTCAGAAGACCTTGTATTCTGGAATGTCTTTGCAGAAGGAAGTAACATCCTATATGGTTGGGATCATGTGTATAGTTTTTCAAGGACCCCCCTCCTAATTTAAGCTCAAGGCACATTTCACAAATCATTTGAAATTTCACAAATACGTTCAACCTTCGCTGAGCTATGACGATTTGAATTTGGAGTCAAATTGACCCTAAGGTACTAAGTTGTTTTTTTTTTGTACAGACGAAGGGTTAATCCGAAGGGCACGCAATACAAAGAACCGGTGCGTTGAAGTTAAAATGCAATAAAAAAAAATTAAAGTAAGAAATGCGTTTTGAAGTAGTACTGACGGTTATTAAAATTATCTATCCGGAATGAATGTAATTAAAAGTATTGAAAATGTAATTAATGTACTTTAATTACGAAATTTCGACTTTAACTAATGGAGTTAAAAAGTAGTTAATGATCTAATGTAATTAAAGCAGTAGTTAATGGAATTAATTTAAGTACAACTGTTGCCTGCGTTGGAGTTAGAGGTTATTGCGTGTCCCTAGGGTTAATCATTATATTATACTATCAACGTTACCCGCATTATCAAACATACCCCGTTTTACGGTACTTAGGAATACTTAGGAAAGGTCAGAAAGCATCGGGAAAGTTCTGACAAATTTCAAAGCAGTTCCATGATCATCAGAAAAATGTTGGAAACTTTAGGAAAGTTCGGAAAAAAATTGCAAAATGATGATAACTTTGATTAATTTAAGAAAAATGCAGGAACTTAACAGATGTTCAAAGAGCAAAGTCCCATGATTTTCAGAAAAATTAGGAAAACGTTAACGAATCTTCAGGAAAATTTTGAAAATTTTATGTTGGGTAGTTTCATTAACATCAGAAACACTACTTTCAAGATGTTCTGAGAACTTCATGAAAATTCCAAGAATTCCAAGGAAGTTTGGAAAACTACAGGGTTGTTCCGAGAGATACAAGAACGTCCAGAATTGCAGGGAAGTTTTAAGATCCTTTAAGATAGGTTCCATAGATTTCAGAAAAAAACCGAGAGCATTAGTAAGGATCAAAGAACTTCTTGGTAGATTGCAGAGACGAACCAGCCAACGGCTGCAAGTCTCTATAATAAAGAAATCAATCAATCAATCAATTCTTGACAGTTCCATGCAATTGGGTTCTTTAATTTTGAAAAATATATCGGTTTTTATATATCATCTGAAAGAGCTTCGTTTTCTGAGCACAGCGATATTTTTTTCAACCCCACGCACTTTCATCTCGATTTTTAAATCATGATTTAAAGCAAAATAATAACTTCACTGTTTGACACTAAACTGACAAACTGTCTGCTCGCTCCCATACAAAGTAACACCGAGGGGCGCTAATTAGGTGATTTTTGCAAATGTAATCGTACTTATTTAAAATAGTTCCAGTGTGCCAAAATTGATGAAATGTTGGGTTTGGGTTCCATTTTTAATGCAGATTACGAATATGCATTTACCTCAATACCCTTAAAGAACCCAATTCAGTAAAATTGCAGCATCTTTACAGCAGTTGCCAGAACCTCAGTTGAGTATAAAGGAAGTTATGTACGTGTTCGTAGGGGAAGTTCTGAAAACTTCAGAGCAGTTCCAGGAAAACTGCGGGATAATCAGGGAAGTTCCAAGTGGTTCAAAAAATTTTAGAGAATTTAAAGGCAGTTCCATTATATTCAGGAAAATATCGAGAACCTTCTAGAAGCTCTAAATATTAAAGATTGTCCAGGGAGCATCATGAAGGTTTAGAGAACTTAATAAAATTTATGAAATGTCGCGGTGCTGAAAACGAAATGTATCAGGTACTTTAACACTCCGAACACGATGCCTCCAGTAAAATGTGTTAAATACGGCAAATTGGCAATGTATGATAAATCAATGCTCAGTAATGTATCAATAGATTTTAAATCTAAAAATATCGAATGTATCTTTAAAATATGAAGTTAGATTTTAAATTTGTCAATAAATGGCTGAGCTATGATTTCTCAAACATAACAAGTCGACAGTGAGCATGCATAAGAGCGATTCTCTTCGTCAATTTTCGCTTTTGTTAAAAACTCGCTAGAATTAACGTTTCTTGGTGAGTTTGTTGTTGATTTTGATAGCCAATACAACATGCTACAACTCTGCATTGAACAAATTCTAGAAAATTGTTTCGCTTAGCTGTAGCAATGCAAAGAGAAAATCGATGTAGAGAATCG